CCCTCTGAGTCTTACCTGCATATGCCAAAAGAGACGATAAAACCAACAGCAGGACTCCTAGAGCTGTGCTGGGGATCAGAGGGGCTGCTCTGGGTAAACTGTAGAAATGCACTGCCAGTAAGAGTGATCCTGCGTGTGACAAGGGAGGTGGAAAAGAAGAAAGAGCTTGTAAACTTTGCCCCCCAAAAAACAGGAGAGAACCAGAGTGGCAAGAGCAGGGAATAGAGAAAAAATAACAGTACAAGATCTGCAAATAATGAAACCTAAGGAGATGGGGGTGAGTGGGTGGGTGTTGTAACTTAGTTTGTGTCCAAAGTCTCACCTCTTTCTGAGTGAGTGCCTAGTTTTAAGAAACGTGAACTTAATCATGTTTGAAAGTTCTCCCCTGTTGTCAGATAAAGGTAAAAATCAGCTTTCCAATTCCAGTTACACAAAAGGCAGACAGACGCACACACACTAAACAGATGATCACATAAGCCTTGTGCCTACAGAAAACTAGCTTAAAAATGAAAAGGGGCAGCACTTGTAAAGATGAAATGCAAAAAAGGAGCACATGAAAGGGAGTGAACACAGAAAACAGAGCTGCAGTGAGAACGGCTAGAAAAGGAAAAGAGAGGAAAGTGCATCCAAATAAAGACCATTTCTGAAAATGACTACCAAAAAGTTTTGATTCGCTTCCCACCCAGGATGGATCGAGTACAAAAGTTCAGGCCAGCACTTTAAAGCCAAGACAAATATTTTGTTGGCTGCTGAAATAGGCGCCAAGATCTCTGGATCTAAAAGCTTTACCCAGGCAGAGAAGATTCAGAACAAACAGACTCTTTAGCCCCCTTTGAAAAGGGGGTTGTCCATGAAAGCTAGTCCCAACCCCATCCTCCCATGCCAAGAGGACTTGATCCCTACCTGTGGAAATGCCCAAGAGCCCTATGGAGGAATGCAGTGACTCAGCCCCTCTGTCTGCCATCGCAGAGTCCGCCGAAGACCCAGATGCGGGCTGAAATGCTGCCTCTCTTTCCTCCCTAGCTCTTTATAACCAAACCAACTCCACTGGCCTGCGTTCCTCCCTGCTCTCCACCCCTTTAAAACATCTTCTGTTAGTGTTCCTTTCTGCATGCGGGAGGAAATGCAAACTGAGTTCCTTGCTGCAATAAATTTCAGTCTGTGAGTCAGCGTGGACTGCTGGTAGCTCCCTCCAGGGGCCTGTTAATTTTACTGTTGATTAACCCTTGTTAAAAAGACACTTGAAAAATAACACTAAGGGTTTATTACTATTATTGCCTTTTTGTTACTGCCAGTGAGGAAATTACACCGGTTAAAATTAAGGTTTTTTTAAAGAATCCATCTTTCTGGAGCAAACAAGTACTTTGCAAGCCCAGCAGCTCCTTGGGGACCAGTTCTTCCTCCTAACACTGGCCATGGTCCTGCTGTTTGTCCCTGTCACAGCCATGAATGCCTGGCATCACTGTCCTGTGCTGGGCAAACCCAGGGCAGATTCAGCGCCAGTCCCTTAAAGGTGATTTCTGTCCATGTGTCACTCCACACCTTGGGGAATTCCTCCTAACTGGTTTTCACGAGTGAGGTCTCAATGCAAACATGCACTCTGGAGACCACCAGTGTGCGGATAAATCTAGAGGAGCCTTGTTGGCTTTCCAGGAGAACTGTGTAGGCAGTGAGTGAATATCAGTCATTGCCATGATCACAGCCGTATCCCAAAGGTGACACGAAGGACCTATTCACAGCTTCCTACTGCTTCCCATGGAGAATATTTGATCAGGGCATAAAGGTCTTTATCGATGGAGGAGAGGCTGCAGAAAGCAGCGGGCACTGGCCTTGGAATCGTGTTGGGTCACACGTCAAGTGGGAATTAGGTGGAGAACTGTTCTGGGAGAGCTAACAGATCTTTGATGGAAAACAGGGGCAACACTTGCCTGCACTTAGGTACATTCCTCCATCGTTTTGTTTGTGTGCAATGTGCCCTCATGGCCAAGAAGGCCAATGGTATCTTGGGGTGCATGAAGAAGAGTGTGGCCAGCAGGTTGAGGAAGGTTCTCCTCCCCCTCCACTCTGCTCTGGTGAGGCCACATCTGGAGTGCTGTGTCCAATTCTGGGCTCCCCAGTCCAAGAAAGACAAGAAACTACTGGAGAGAGTCCAGTAAAGGGCAACGAAGATGATGAGGGGACTGGGACAACTCTCTTGGGAAAGGCTGAGAGAGCTGGGTCTGTTCAGCCTGGAGAAGAGAAGACTGAGAGGGGATCTCATTGATACTTATAAATACCTTAAGACTAGGTGTCAAGAGGATGGGGCCAGACGCTTTTCAGTGGTGCCCAACAACAGGTTAAGGGCAACAGGCACAAACTGAAACTCAAGAAGTTCCATCTGAATATGAGGAGGAACTTCTGTACTTTGAGGGTGGCAGAGCCCTGGAGCAGGCTGCCCAGAGAGGCTGTGGAGTCTCCTTCTCTGGAGATATTCAAAACCCGCCTGGATGTGATCCTGTGCAACTTGGTGTAGGTGACCCTGCTTTGGCAGGGGGGTCAGACTGGGTGATCTCCAGAGGTCCCTGTCAACCCCCACCAGTCTGGGATTCTGTCTGTGAATGGACCAGTGTAGGGCCTATTACCATGAAGGACTCAGCTCCTGTTCCCATCAGCCCCAGTTAAAACAAATTCCACTCTCAGCCTCTTGACAAGGTAAAAGATGCAGGACAGTGTAAAGAGCTTCACACTAATATTACTGGGCTGGTCAAGGATGACTCTGCAGAGGCCTTACAGTAGCAAGCTGTGATGTTCCTCTTGGCAGATCCTGCTCTACGTTCCCCACTAAGTCATGCTCCACAGCCAGGGCTGGAGGACAGAAAAGCTGTCAGAAATGGGACTTGGAGCTGCATAGACTGGAGCTCAAAGACAGGCCTCCAGAGGTATTAGATCTGTAGCAGCATCCAGAACAACCCCAGACTGTCAGGGTCCACAGATAATGTCAAAGGACCCTGCTCCTCCTGCTCTCTGGGCCAGCTGGAGCATGATGACATGCTTCCACTGCACTGCTGGATCCCTATAATGGCTCCCAAAATTTCCTGGATTCTTCAGTGCTTTGGAGGACAGTTATCTTTAACCGAGTTCACCCTTCAAGAAGAGCTTTGAGGCAACAGGCTATCTTCACACTCATCTTCACTAGAATATTAACGCAGATTAAAGCAAGGTGTTAATAGTAAAGCCCAGTGTCTCTACCATAATAAATGTGTGCAGATGTTCCCACACTGAATGGAATAACTCAGCTGAAAAGTATTATTTATCAAGAATATGTTTACTGCAAATAGATCTTTAGCTTCAATACATCTATTGAGATTGATCTTATTACATCAGGAAGCAAGCGTTGGAACAAGCCTGGTTTGTCCAGTTATACCTAACCATATATACCAGTAAGGGCAACCAGCTCAGTCAGTTTGCAACAGGCAGAGCTAAATGATGTGGTTTGCAGCAAGCAGTAAGTTTGTTTAAATCATCGGCCTCTGTCTATCTTTGTTCCATCATTAACGGGACTGCTCTCTAACCAGTTGAAGGAGGAAGAAACTACCTGTTCAAGTTGCAGCATGATTCAGCTGTTTTTCCATGCAAGAGGAAATAATACATTTCTAAACCACAGCTAGAATACCCTAGATACCAAACCAAACGGCCGTGAAAAGGCTTTGGGTGTTTTCCACACGTATCTCAGTTTAGTTCCTGCTCTGGGTAATAAAAGTAACTGGAAGGAAAAGTCTGTTTTAGACTAGCTGCAGTGCAAGTCCTTTCTCACAAACGGCCATGAAAAGGCTTTGGGTGTTTTCCACACATATCTCTCAGTTTAATTCCTGTTCTGGGTAATAAAAGTAACTGGAAGGAAAAGTCTGTTTTAGACTAGCTGCAGTGCAAGTCCTTTCTCACGTGCTTTTTGTTCCTGGTTGTACAGGTAGCAGCTAGGAGTACGTGGTGCCCGATATCACTCGTTTTCAGGGATGCATCCAATAAATGAAGTCACATGCATTAGCAATGAGCATCTTCCTCGTGCCTGCTACAACTAACAAACTTGCTGAAACACTATTTCATTACACACAGGATATACTTCATGTCTCTTCCAAATATGACCCAAGGAAAATTTCTTATAAATAATACTTGAAAAACATTCTTCAGCCATGTCGCAGGAAGTTTTTTGCTCTCTGAAGAACGGTAAGACAGTTTCAAGAGGCCGCAGTTTTTTCAACAGTGCAAAGCTGAAATAGAGCGGTACATAATCATCTCAGGTGTGAGCATATCAAGCACAAGGAAGAACAAGTCTTTGCACGAGCAAGGGAGTTTCCCCATCACATGCTGTGAATCTTGCTGCCTTGTGCCCCTACAGACGTCGGGGCTCTGCCAATTCCTGGTACCGCTTTCCTGGCAAACGGAGAGATGGTGCTGTTGATGAACAATCAAGTGATTAATTTCTAACCTCAGCACCCAAAGGCCAGGAAACAACCACAACTGAGTGCAAAACATCTGCTCTTGAGAGATAGGATATAAAGATAAGAACAATTAAGGTCAGAAAAGGAAATCTTGGTGTTAAAAGACTAAGGTTGCCAATGCAGTGTAGGGTTAAAAACAATGGGGCACAGAGAGGAGTGCACTGGCTTGAATACTTGCTCTGGGTGGGCTCCCTTTGATACCATCTTATGTGCAAAGACTTTGGTACTTTAGTCTCAAATAGAACAGAAAATCGACAGCTGAGAAGGAAAAACACAGCTGCTCTGTTGAATGGGTCACGTCAGCTGGGGATGCTTTGGAGACAACGTGCTGGGAAGAAGATCTGCAAGGGAGCAGTCAGTTGAGGCAACAAATAATATTTACATACCCTGCCTGTGGCACTGGAAATAAAACCTTCTTGCCAGTAAGAAATTCAGTCCAACCCTCCTGGCCCCACCTGCTCCTGGGGGAGGGATGGCGCTATAAAAGACTCCAGGCAGGGAACAGAGATACACAGCAATTTGGGGCTCTCCAGGGAATCCTCCTGCTCTGGTTGTGACCATGGGAAAGAGAGTGGCTGTCGTGTTGGCTGGCTGCGGGGTGTACGACGGGAGCGAGATCCACGAGTCTTCTGCTGTGCTGGTGCATCTCAGCAGGGAGGGGGCACAGGTAAGAGGCACCCTGGCAGGCTCCTGTCCCATCTCCGGCTCCTTTTGCCCTGCTCTGCTTTTCAATCTCTCTCTCTTGCAGAAGGTATTTGTCTCGAAGGAGCTTTGCAGCTTGCCGGGCAAATCACAAGCTGCTCATTGCTGCGAGGGTGATCGCAAAGCGTGAGCGACTGCGGTCAAAGCAAACGGCACGGTGTAGGAGCTGCTACGGCGAGCGTGGAGAACTGCCTCGTCTCTGCTTTGCTGTACGAGAGGATCGGCTTGGTGCTCTGTGTCGAGTGTATCCAAACTCCGACACAAACTTTCCTAAATGCATTCTCTATTCTTTTTGGCTTGCACTTCTTATTTTCTGCTTTGGTATTTCTGTTTAAAAGACTACTATTGTTTTTAGCTGTTTGAAATTCATCTTTTTAAAACCCCAATGATCAGAACTGAAAATACAAAAGTTCTTGTGAGTTGAACTTGAATAGGGATAAAAGCAGCGACCCTCCACGGGGCTCTAATATGCCATTAGTCACAACAGCCACTCTGCGAGACTGGAGGAGGAGGGAGAGAAGCCCTATGTAACATTGCCCTCAGCTCTGAGCCACCCATAAATCTGAGTCAGAGCCGTTCTCCTGGGAATCGGAATTGCTGTATTAAATACAAAGGCACAGCGGTGATATACATGTGCTGCGGAGCCAGCCCACCCAATCCCAAAGCCTTCAAAGTGTGCATTCGCTGTTTGGCTTAAAGCTGAGACTTGTCCAAACCTTGTCTCCATTGTGTGTAATTTTGCCTCTTCTTCTTCTCTCCTGGAGCTGCTGCAGTCCCTCCTGCCGTACTCCGAATTGGCAGGCGCGGAGCACCATCCTGCACTCATCCCTTGATCGGCAGAGGCCTCTAGTGGAGGAAATTCAGGCATTATTTCAACAAAAAAACAATTTTTTTGTTCATGCTTGCCTAAGGAAACAAAGAATAGAATGGAATAGAATAGAAAGGTATGGAATAGAACAGAACAGAATATTTCAGTTGGAAGGGACCTACAATGACCATCTAGTCCAACCGTCGGACCACTTCATGGCTGACCAAGTTCAAGCATGGTATTAAGGGCACTATCCAAGTGCCTCTTAAATACTGACAGGCGTGGGGCATCGACCACCTCTCTAGGAAGCCTGTTCCAGGGTTTCACCACCCTCTTGGTAAAGAAATGCTTCCTGATGTCCAGTCTAAACCTCCCCTGGTGCAGCTTTGAATCATTCCCAGGTCCTGCCACTGCATCCCAGGGAGAAGAGCTCAGCACCTCCCTCTCCACCTCCCCTCCTCAGGAAGCTGTAGAGAGCAAAGAGGTCACCCCTCAGCCTCCTTCTCTCCAAACTAGACAAGCCCAAACTCCTTAGCTGCTCCTTATAAGACATGCCTTCCAGCTCTGGTGAAAACCAGTTTTGTTGCCCTCCTCTGGATACCTTCCAAGTATCTTAACATCCTTCTTAAATTGTGGGGCCCAGAACTGCGAAGGTTGCACAGTCCTAAAATCTATCGCTCCTCTGCTTGCCACCTTCCACTCTGCATGTGAGCTTGAAACAGTTCTGAAGGAAGGGGAAGCATTTTGCAGAAAAAGAAATACAGTGGCTGGGGAGAAGAAACTCAAAGTCTTTTGAGTCTTTCAGGGAGGACTGTGGTTTGACGGCAGCTTGCTGGGCGGTCAGCGCCCGTAAGGGATGACCGGTTTTGTGGGGGCAGCTGGGGCAGGGCTGGGGGTACCTCAGTGAAGGTGATTGATTGGGATGCAGATGGAAACCTCTAAGAAATGGCTTCACCAATGGCTTTTGGGACACCTTGTTTTCCTAGGAAGGAAAGGAATCACTGCTCCCTCTCCAGTGCTTCAGGCCGCGACACAAGCAGTGTGGTCTAGCGTCTTTGCTTTCACCTAACACCACCATCACTCCTTTAAGGTCAGGGGACCTTTCTTTCTTTCTCCTCCCTATGACAGTAGCCTTCCTGATGGCAGTATCAGATGCAAGTGAGCCTGAAGGTCACTGCCTTCACCGGCAAAGTTCTTTCCTAACAGAGTAACTCAAGTATTTTCATTCACTACGTGTGATCTCTAACGTGCTTAGGATACCTGACTGAAGGATAATAGACCTTTCCACTCTCTTCCCAGGCAGAGGTTTATGCTCCTGATGTCGACCAGATGCATGTGGTGGACCACGTGAAAGGACAGCCAACTCAGGAGAAGCGCAATGTGCTAGTTGAAAGTGCCAGAATAGCCAGAGGCAACATCAAGGACCTAGCTAAGCTGGATGTCAAGGGGCTGGATGCCCTAATCATACCAGGTAGGATGGTATGCGGGGTCTGCATGCCCAAAGTCTTGGGAACAGCTTAGATATGCCGTAAGCCTTGAATGACATGGGAGTCATGGGCTGGAAAGGAATTGGGCAGAGTCACTGGGGAAGAAGACAGGCTGGAAGCAGGGACTGGAAGGACAGACATCTTCCATCTGTGCTGGCACTGGCATGCTAGCTTGGACTTACATTAAAAGAGAACATGGCAATGCCGAAACTTATCCCAAGAGGAGGGGGCAGATAACTGCCAGTTGAATTATCCTCTGTACCATCTACTGAACTTTTTTTTTTTTTTACTGAATGTAAAACTATTCCTTCCCTCACCAACATGTCTACCTCCTTATCAGGAGAAGAAAAGGCTGGGACAGAGAGGGGGTGACTCAAAAGCGGAAAGTTTGGTCAGTCTGGCAATTCATCTTTGAAACTATGACCATGTGATTTCAGTGGGGATGGATTAGACCTGGAGCAAGGATTAAGAGACAAGTGAAAACTTGTCAGCGTGTTCCACCACAATTCAGAAAAGAACTCATGGGTGAAACACAGTACCCAACAGAGCATTGATACCTCTCTGCTTCAGTTCTCTATGGAAGCAAGAACGGTGTTTCGATGTCTCATCTCCTGGCAGTCTGCTCACAAAGGTTCAGTTTGTCTGATTTTAATTCCTTTATCAACATTGGACAAATGCTGCTGTCCATCAAATCCATTTTAGCATTCTACCAAGTAATACCTGAAAATAGTCCTGCCCTGGAGTACTAATCTTCCAGTCTAATTTGTTTCTCTTTACTCAGGTGGCTTTGGAGTGGCTAAAAACCTGAGTACCTGGGCCACCCAAGGCAAGAACTGCATCATCTCTAAAGAGGTGGAGGATGTCCTGAAGGCATTCCACGCTGCCAAAAAGCCCATTGGCCTGTGCTGCATTTCCCCAGTGCTGGCAGCCAAAATCTTCCCAGGCTGCGAGCTGACTGTGGGTCACGACACAGAGTGTGAGAAGTAAGTAAACTTGGAATGCTGGTAGGAAATCACACCACGAACATCAAAGAATCAGGAATGCTTCCCCAATGTACGTAGTAGCACCCTGTCTCAACTATCCTGCCCAGACATCTGAAGTCTCATGATGAGTTGAATGTTATTTCTGAGAACGAATGATCCACGTCATGCATTGATTAAATTAACCTTGGCTGATAAATTAAATGATCAGATTTTTTGATGTACCCCTTGTCACTTACATATTCCTCTACCTATGTCTTATGCTAAAACCAGAAATCTGATTTTACTTTTGAGAGTTTTCTCTAATGGGTGTATTTTACCGTATGGGGGCACAAGAGACGGCAAGAACCTCAAGGAATAAATTTTGAGTCAGGAAGATATTCAGATTTCTCGAAAGGAGGAATATGTCCTTCCCTTGCCTGGGAGTAGAGAGGGAGGATACCAGAGGGATTTCTGGAACAAAGGGAAGTAGCAGAAGGGCATGGGAACTTGTTTCCTTCCAACAGAAGGCAAAAGCCATCCTTCAGTTACGCGCTTCCCTCAGACGGACACCACTCCAGAGACAGACTCTGCTGTAGCTGCTACCTCTAGCAGGGAGAATTTAGTAACTAGGGCCCCTCTGAAGACTTAACAATTAAAATCTGAAACTCTTCAAGTACCTGGAAGAATTGTTTTATTATTTGTCAGCAGATCAGAGTGCGTGTTCTACCAGTGGATTTGTTTGCATTTTTGTATACTTCTTTCCACAACACCCATGGCTTAAAGTAAGACGCTTTATTTTAAAAATAATCTTGTATTTGCTTCCCTAATGTATGTAGCACCCTGTCTCATGCACCTCTTGGTCCCAGGGTAGGAAAGACACCAGATCACTAGCAGATCGTAGGTAGGAACAGGATGGTTGCACAAGACTTGGTAGTGGTAAGAGAGGGAGGGAGTTAAACTGTTCTTACTCATATGGGAAAGTTGTGTCTGAATTCTCCCAATGGCAGGGAAGGAACTATGATGGCTCTTGCTAGGAAGGGCTAGGAAGTAGTGTCACTTGTAGGAAGCTGGTGGAAAAAAACCCCAAACGTAAACACTGGAGTGGGCAGAGTTAAGTAGTAGAACATCTATAGTGGAATATCAAGGTCTTGTTCTGGCTTTACTTCAGATTTTTAACTCACTGTAATCTGGAGGTTTTCCTGGTTCTGAAGTCCTGGAGAAACTTCTCTGACAGGAAAAGATTTGGATCCTATTGAGCAGGCTTTCTGTAGGGACCATCCATCTCCCTGTAATCAACGGACTTTTCACTCTAGGCCTTCGTCAAATTGCTCTGTGTAATGATGGCTTCCCCACACGGAGTTTATTCTCTTTTCTTCTTGTAGATGGCCTTACGCAAAGATGGCTGAGACCATGAAGGAGCTTGGTTGCAAGCATGTGAACAAACACGTCACTGAAATTCATGTGGATGTGAAGAACAAGCTGGTGACCACCAGTGCCTTCATGTGCAATGCCCCCATTCATGAGATCTACGATGGCATTGGAAAAATGGTCAAAGAAGTGGTCAGACTTGCCTGAATACCACAAAGCCACAGAATCCATCTCCTCTGGAGTGCAGGCACTGAGCCTCGGATAACGGTCTTCCCCTTTTGCACCCACATGTCAACAGACAAATTGCTACTCAAATGGAGTGCTTCCTCCCCACTGGACCACTGGTGGCTGCTGAGGAGGGAGAACTCCAGAGCAATGTAAGTGTTGTCTTGTTCTGCCAAGAACACACCACTTACTGACAGCAAACTGACAGTAATTGAGTGTGGGCACGCATCGAGATGGCATGCAGAAGCCAGGTTTCCACGGGGCTCAAATAAAGCCACTGTCTTTGGTTTCGAGTGGCTGAGGAGTTGCATGGGTCATGTCAGCCATGACTGGGCTGACCTGACATGTCCATGTCATGTGTCAACAGGAATTGGTCCCTTTCTGAGAGTCCTTACACATCTATCTTTGTCAGTACTTCAAAGCTCCCCACATACCTCCACCTCACAGAACAGATGAATTAGTGGCAAAAGGATGGAACACTGTTCTGCTACTGAATAAAAACTGACACTTTGTACGTGGTCTGAATTCTGCTTTCATTTTTGCCTTTTACTCTGGATTAGGACATGTTTGTAGTGCTACTGGTTGGCCAATAAGTGGGGAAAACAATACAGGAAGAAGTCACCAGCAACAAACGCCACTTGTTTTGTCAGGATTTGTCAAAACTCAGACTTGGGCATGAATATGACATTGGTGAAAGCGGAATCAAACCAATGTTGGCATCCAGGTCTAACAGGAAGAGGTTAAATTCTTCTCTCGTATTTACAGAATCACAGAATACCAGGTTGGAAGGGACCTCAAGGATCATCTGGTCCAACCTTTCCTGGCAAAAGCATGGTCTAGGCAAGATGGCCCAGCACCCTGTCGAGTCGAATCTTGAAAGTGTCCAATGTTGGGGAATCCACCACTTCCCTGGGGAGATTATTCCAAAGGCTGATTGTTCTCATTGTGAAAAATGGTCCTCTTGTGTCCAGTAACTTGTACCCATTATCCTTCGTCTTTTCCATGTGACTCCTTGTAAAAAGGGAGTCTCCATCTTCTCTGTAGCCACCCTTTAAATACTGGAACATGGTGAGAAGGTCTCCCCTAAGCCTTCTCTCCTCCAGGCTGAACAAACCCAGTTCTCTCAGCCTTTCTTCACACAGCAGGCTTCCCAGTCCTTTGACCATCTTTGTGGCCCTTCTCTGCACCCTCTCCAGCATGTCCACAGCTTTTTTGCACAGCGGGGACCAAAACTGAACACAGTATTCCAGGGGTGGCCCAACAAGCACTGAGTAGGGTGGGACACCGACTTCTTTATCTCTGCTGGTGATGCCCTTGTTGATGCAACCCAGGGTCCTGTTGGCTCTCCTTGCTGCAGCAGCTCACTGTTCACTCACATTGAGTTTGGTGTCCACCAAGACCCCCAGGTCCCTTTCCACTGAGCTGCTCCCGAGCCGGGTTGATACCAGCCTGTGCTGCACTCCTGGATTATGTTTTCTCAGGCGCAAGACCTTACACTCGTCTTTGTTGACGTTCATAAGCGCCCTTGTTGATGCAATCCAGGGTCCTGTTGGCTCTCCTTGCTGCAGCAGCTCACTGTTCACTCACATTGAGTTTGGTGTCCACCAAGACCCCCAGGTCCCTTTCCACTGAGCTGCTCCCGAGCCGGGTTGATACCAGCCTGTGCTGCACTCCTGGATTATGTTTTCTCAGGCGCAAGACCTTACACTCGTCTTTGTTGACGTTCATAAGGTGGTTGTTAGCCCACTCTTCCAGCCTTCCACAGAAGACCTGCTATGATAGCATGGAGTATTTTGGAAGCAGCCTTCCATACTGCTCCTAGGCAGAAAGAGCCCAGGGTGCGGTCTAGGTATCCCAGAGAAAGCGCTGCAATTTCCAGTCCCTTCCAGCCTCTAGGAAAATTCCTAGAAAGAACCTGGAAGCAACAATTCTGCATTGCAACAGAGACCAACAAGATAGCCATCTAGCTGAAACCTGAATGGCAAGCTGTAAACTGGCTGGGCAACAGCAAAGTCTGGCAAGCAGAAGGCACTGAAAATAACCCAGTGGCACAGTGGCACAGTTGCTCAGATAACAGGCCAGGCCCAGGGTTTTAAGGCCAGAGGGAATCATTTGTCCATATAATCTGACCGCTCTGCAGAAGCTGTAAAGAGCACAGCAGCTTACACCGGGCTGAAGCAAGCCTGCTGAGAGGATTCAGTCTCGACCTGAAGACACTGCTGTAGTATTTGATAGCTCATTCTCACACTTAAGCAGTATCATTTAAGATAAGCCATGCTTTATTTCTCTCCTATAGTTGAAGAGCTAAATTCCAACCCCTGGATGCTGACAGGTTTGTCTCCATTAGGTTCAAGAGCTTTGTAGATAGTATGTTCTTCTTATACAGGGTCTTATTATGCAGGTAGTATCATATAATCACTGTTTAATTCTCCCAGTGTAAGACACATTTTCTAAGCTAGCAACTATTTTCTGAGGCTCTTCTCAGCAAACTCTTCAGGCTTTTTACATTCTTTTCAAAACACCAGCATCTTTTTGCACTCTCGCCAACAAGGCAAGATCCTTCAAGACTACACTGGTGGCCAGAGTGGGAAGAAATTTACCCACACGCTGCAGTGATGCTGCAAAGAGGAGTTCAAGCACATCTGGCAGTGACAGAACGGCCCAGAGTAGCATAACACAGCAATTCTTCCCAGGTTTCTAATGAAAATGTAGCTGATCCAGTCACTCTTTTCCACTGATTCTCCTACCAATCGTTTTCACCCCGTTGGCCACCTTCCATAACCTTTTTGCAAAGGTGTGAAATCCTCCAAGACATAAAGGACCAGCCAGTTTTGGGACAATAGCTGCCAAGAAGAGGAGGGAAATACCTGCTAGCACAAAAAGTCCACTGTTCCCTTGGCCCTTCGACAATCCCTTACGAAGAACTGGGGTGAGTATCCCAACCACAGAGCAACGTTCAGTCTGAATTAGCATTTAATTAGGACAGAAGCAAAAATCCACGGGAGACCAGGCCTCAGAGCTGCACAGTTTTGATCCACACTGTTACTTCTGAAGGGGAAACCACAGCTTAAGCTGTTCATTACCTTACGGAAAGTAATAGTTCCCAAGCCTTTGAAGTGTTGTCTTGGGCACAGTACAGGAGTCAGGAAAGGTACAGAAGTTTCTGCCATAAGCACTAACTTTTGAGATTTATACAGGATTTTCTGAGATTAGGAGTGTTTTGATTGAGTTATCAGATAGGCTGAAAAGCTATGGGATGTAAATAAAATATAGAGAATTCCAGGGACTGGTTGAAGAATTTGAATTAATCTCTTGACTTTAGATGCAACCCACACAGACACAAAGCTAGTAAACACACTGTTTGCTGGGATGCAGAAAACTGCTTCCACTGCTGGAGCAGTGAAATCAGACCCAAAGATGAAACATTAGCAATATTTTGGTGTGTTTTGACACCCATGAAAGGCAACAAACAAGAAATAAGGAAAGCTGGAGAAAAGTGACATTGTAGCTAGTTGTTTATAAGGGAATGGGAGAAAAAAAGAAAATCCTGCAGCTATGGATCAGTCAGTGTCAGCATCTGTAGGAACTCCTGCTTGCCCACTTCCCCATCTCCATCCACATCTGCTTCATCAATCATCTCCTGTGGGATAGCAGAGATGTGGAGACCAGGTTAGGCTGGATCTGAGAGGGTGGATGCTCACGAAGTGCAAACGCCATTGAAGGTCTCAGGCAAGGCTCAAGCGAGACAGAGATCGTGCCCATTGCAAAGCAACACAGCACAATCCCCCAACTAGTCTTCCCTGCAGAAAGACACTTCCCTCCCTCCCTCCCTGAGCAGAGCATGAGAGGAATGTGTTTGTACTTCACAAACCTGCAGCTCCTCATCCGTGATGTCTTCCCCAACCTCACTAGCCACCACCTTGAGATTCTCAAAGGAGATCTTGCCAGTGCCATCACGACCAAGCACCTTGAAAGCTTCCAGGATCTCCTTTTCCAAACATGGCTCCGTCTTAGCAAGGAAATGAAAAATGCCACCGTGTAAACATGACATCATACCACCCTACAATCCCGAGTCAGGCACTTTACCCAGCAAACATTTGCAATCAAATCCAAGACATCATTTTGGGGAAAACCTAGCCATAGAAGAGGGTTATCTACTGCTGCTATTTCACCTTTGCCTTTCTTCTCTCCCCATATAACTGTGTATTAAAGGAAAAGCCCCAAAAGAAGTTGTCTGAGAAGCATGAGGACTTGGCCTGGAATATCCTGGCCAAGCTTTGTCAGGAAGAGGGGGACTAGCACTGCTACTGGAGGAGGAAGCAGTTGCCAAGAATGATCCAATGGCTACAGCTTTGTTTTAGTTCAAAAGTGAGCCAGGCCAATGCTGGCTTTTACTGCCCTTACTCACCTCACACACAGGCAATGCATACACAGTTAGGTCTGGGCTTTGACTGAATTAGGGGGAAAATGGGGATCTTCACTGCCCTCTTAGCACGGGTCCCCTGCATACACACCCTGGCAACTATGACTGCATTGATGCCACATCAGCTATGCCCCAAGGCATCTCCAAAGCCTTGTAATGAAATCGGAAGGATTGGAGAGGCAGAACCAGGCAAGACGGTGCTCTTTGAGAACGGCCTATGTCTGCATGGAGCCAGGCACTAGAAGGTACAGAGGATTTTGAGCCACAGGCATCTCAGATGGGCAATGAGGACTAGGGAACATGAAGCAAAGGGCTGGTATCAAACAGCAGCTCTTCGGACACTGCACAAGCTTGAGCGGCTGTTGCATGCAGGTGCTGACAGTGTCAGCGGGTATTGAGGAATGATTCTGATATAGATGGTGAATTGTTCACCTGATGTATGACATCTGAAATTTCATGTGGAAAGGTTTAAGGAAGGGAAGTGGTGGCTCCTAGGTGCTGTGTGTGCTCAGGGCTCTCTCTGATGGGAATGAGATTTCTGCTGAGATAGAGCTGTCTCTATCTGAACTAGCCACTCTGCTCCCTCTATAGTTCACAGAAAGAGACAACAGGGGTAAGGACAATTCACCTGAAGGTAGACCTTTAAAATAGCTCTGACAAAACTCCTGAAACACTCCTGTTTCTCCCCTGCAGGGAACAAGAGTGACCCAATCTACTGTAGCTACCTGCATCGTAAAGTTAGGTGAGAGGAATTTCACTTTTTGTGACCAGTTGGGCTCATACACCATTTTCTGGGTCATCACCTGCAGAAACAACTTAAAGGTTAGCTTCTCTGACCCTTCTTCACTGAATTCAGAGATGATTCTCTTCATGTCCTCTTTCCCCAATTCACAGCCCAGAGCCCTTACAGTTATCTGCCAGAAGAGAAAACACACCAATGTCTTGGTGTACAAATCAAACAGAAACAAAGAGGGAAAGATTTTTGAAACAAGCAGGTACATGAAAGTAGTAAAACAATCCCAACTTTTCATCAACTGTTTTCATCCATCATTTTGTCTGTAGAGAACAGGGTTCTGTAGCCGTCTAACATCAGTAGTACGAGGCCGTGAAAAATTAGCAGCGAAGCGCTGTCAGCAAGGGCCAAGAAGGGAGGCTTCAGTCCCTCCTAAGGATACCTGGCTAGTGAGTGAGCACAGCCCTTACACCACGAGTTGAAGTTCAGGCAGCAAAGTCTGTTAGCACAGCAAGTGGTCCAAAAGCAACAGGGGGCAAACACCAACTGCTCTGTCGCTGCTCCACAGCAGCGTTTATCAGGTGCTTGTAAATGATTAGCCTCATTTCCAACATTTATACTTGCTGCCAGTCATTTCTGTTTGACTACAGTCATTCAAGTTCTAAGTGCAACTGTGGTCACAAAGCAACTGTGTCATTTCTACCAGCCTGAGGGGATCCAGGCTTCTGATCTGGGTTACTCAGACTGTGCAAACACATCCCAAAGAGCAGCAGATTGAACACCCTTCAGCTACAGAAACTTTCACTGTGTCTGTAAAGGCTGTCAGAGGACAGGGGTTGTTACAGAATTTTGCCTGCAAAATGTCGTTCCTCCTCAACTGTTGAGGTTGCGGGTCACCACGAAGAAAGACAGGGTAGGAGACTTCTGAGATTTATTCTGCAGCGTCAGAGAAAGGACCTAAACCCGCTACTGATCTGGGCTGAGTTCAATCGGCAGCAGAATGGTGACAAGCCCCACATGCTGCCACAGACTCCCACTGCAGGCACAGTGGTACAACAGCAATCCTGCAGTAACATGATTTTCCACATGTGAAAGGGGTTACGAACGATACGCTGTGCATCTATGCCTTCTTTCAGGCCTGTCTAAACAAAGTCCCTGCAGCACAGGTTAACGTTATCTTGGTGCACTGATGAAAACGTGACAGAGGGTACGTGCAACCAGGGTAGGAAAGTAGAAGGCCTCTAGGTGAGAGAGGTGGAACGACTTCACTGCACCTCCCAAAAGCGGACTGTGACCAGGGGTTCTCCTTCCTGACCAGGTTTTCTTCTCCGTATCCCAGAGGCACATGAAAGAAGCCATGCAGCTACGGGGGATGTCATGGGGGAAAATGAGGACAAGCGAGGAGTCACTAAACCTCACAACCTTTGTTTTC